GAACAGAACTTTCTGGGTGATGGAAATCTGTACATCTTAATTGAGCTGGTGGTTACAGAGATGTACGTGTCTGTCACAACATATCAAACTGTATGCTTAATAGAGCTGATTTTAAGAGAGATTCCAGTCCCTGTACTGCCACTCAATGCCATTTCACCGGATGTACCATCTCAGCCCTAAGTCACCATCTTTCTGAATCTCCATTTCTGTCTGTGAAACATCATCTGTGAGCTAAGTGATTTCCGGGCCCCTTATTCCACCAAAATCTTACTGTAAACTGGAGGCGAGGGAGCGCCCTGGCTGAGTGAGGCTGTCCTGACCGCCTCCCGCGCCTCGCAAATACCAGAGCAGGCGCCACAAGCCACCAGCAATATTCCCTCCAACAGTCCCAAACAGCTCTGCCGCTGACTCGGTGTCTGCCGAGGATTTGCTCCAGACTAAATATATCCCCCTTTCCGCCATGCCAGATGGTTTCTAGTTCCTCCCCATGTGCAAAGAGGCTCGCCTGCTCCGGGGAGAAAGAGCGGAAACAAGGCATGTCCCTCCTCTCCACCCTCCTCTTCCAGTTCATCCCGCACGGTGTTGCGGTGGCTGCAGCGAAAGACCTCCAACAGGCCGCGGCAGTCACACCGAAGTCTTTAATAAAAGCTGGATTCATTACGTGTTTCCACTAAATCCCAGTGGCTTTTTATCAGGGAGAGGCAGAGGCCCTGGCCCAGAAAGACTTGGGTCTTCATGCCGGAGACAGTGGGGCATGAAGGAGGGAGGGTACAATTTTAATGCTTTCTTCCGACCAGCCCAGCCCCCCTCCTTTAGCCTTTAGCAATCTTATCAGTAGTTCCCAGTTGAGAACCATGAAGACCTTAATACCCGCAAATTTCCGCTTCCAACTTCACAACTGCATTTTTATCCACGTGGAAAATACAGGATGCGCACGCACATGATTACGAACTCATTGTTTCTTTTTTTTAAAGCAGGGTTCTTTTATTATTTTTTTATTTATTTATCCAAGCACTGGGTACAGTCAGAAGCGCGGGAGGGTGAGAGAATTCACCAGAGCCAGAGCGGGGAGCAGAGCAGGCAGAAGGACCGAAGTACACTGCTGAGGGGAGCAGCGGGCGGCAGGAGGGGTCTGCGCGCCATGTGGGACCCTCCTCCGGTGGGAGGTGGCCGGGGAGCAGCCAGGGATCGAACCGGTGCTGCAGAGGCTGCGGGCAGCTTCGCAACCCAGCGCTCAACTGCTGTGCCACCGGGGAGGCCCCCGAACTCGTTAAGTTTAACAAGGCTTCATGGATCACAAGGGTTTTCTCCCTTGCACTCCCTGGAAGGGCAGCCCTCCCTGGAAGCAGCCGTGTCTGGGGCACACTCTGACTTTTAAGACCCTTGCAGGGATCCCCCGGCCCCCAGAGCTGCCAGCCACGTGCGCAGCTGGGAGCTGGAGCCGCTGAGCACTGCTGCGGCCAGCAGTCGAGGGGCAGAGGACGCCACAGGAGTCAGGGAGTGATCCTTGCCCTGCTTTGCCCTGACCTCTTCCTTCCTCCCTGGGGTGGTCTCAGGACTACAGGAAAAGAGGAATTGTGACGACAGTTGCCAGTGGAGTTGAGGAATATGTTCTAAGGGAGAAAAGACAGCCTAGGGTTAGAGCCCCGCGGGTTTTGGACCATAGTAATGCATCGTGAGATGTATCTAGTATCAGCAGCCACATTATAGAGAAGGAAACAGGTAAAATGACTTTGAATGATGTATTTTATTAACCCAGTGTGCCCAAAATATCACTTCAACATGTAATCAATATTAAAAAAAGAGGCATTTTTACATTCTTCTTTTCTCAGTAAGTCTTTGCATTTTGGTGTATATTTCACACTAACAGTCTCAATTCAGACTGGAGCATTTCAGGAGCTTGCTACCAACATGTGACTGGTGGCTACCATCTGGAACAGCACAGTGGAGAGCGAAGAACTGCCCTCCCTCAGTAGTAGGTGGTTATGGCTCTTAACACTCTTAAAGACGTAGTTTCCAGCACTCCTGGGGCGTTGTGGGCAGGGTTGGTGGTGGAGAGGACACCCTGCATCTGAACACCACTCGTGGAAGGCACACAGCTGCTGTCAACCCAGAGCCAACATTGAGGAGCTCAGGGGAACATCCTGTGCAGACCCAGAACCCAACTGGAAGATGAGCAGAGCAGCATCGCACAGAAGATGCCAAGTGGGGCCTGTGGGCATAATCCAGGCTGAGTTGTGTTTGGCTTCCACAGTATATTTACATCTCTTGAAGTAATTATCAATTTGATAACTGTCTATATGTTTGGGCTGTAAACCCTGCTTAATATGGCAGTGTTTAAACTCAGGCAGCCCTAGAATCTAACCTTGGTTCTGCCACGTTTTAGCTGACAATGATACATAAAACTCTTCATAGGTCTCTTCTATAAAGCTGGAGATCGTAATACTTCACAGACATGTATGAATGTAATGAAAGGAAATTAATTGGCTAGCACAAAGCTTGGTACGAAGTAAATATTCAATAAAATTGTGATTAAGTTTTTCATTCATGGCTCCCCCAGTGGTGCAGCAGTTGAGCGCTGGGTTGCGAAGCTGCCCGCAGCCTCTGCAGCGCCAGTTCAATGCCCGGCTGCTCCCTGGCCACGGGAGGAGGGTCCCACATGGCGCGCAGACCCCTCCTGCCGCCCGCTGCTCCCCTCAGCAGTGTACTTCGGTCCTTCTGCCTGCTCTGCTCCCTGCTCTGGCTCTGGTGAATTCTCTCACCCTCCCGCGCTTCTGACTGTACCCAGTGCTTGTATAAATAAATGAAAACAAATCTTTAAAAAAAAAAAGGTTTTTCATTCATAAGAAATTTTAACTCCTTACTGACCCTCTATACTCCTCTTCCAATGCTGGAAAATTGGGACGCACTTGAGCAGGAGAAACTCTTAAAAGCACCCCCATTTCCATACAATGGTGTCGAGCAATGGCTTCCACTTCACAATTTTTACAGTTTGTTCCTTTCTCTGTTGCCCCCTGCTATGGCTCAACTGCGTTCAGCCGTCCTCACTACTGAGCCATTGAAAATTTTTAAAGGCTGATAACTGGGAATAAAAAGGGAAGCTGGGCCTCCCGCAGCAGGTTGAGCGCCACACTGTGAAGCTGTCCACAGCCTCTGCAGTGCGGGTTCGAACCTCACCGGCTGGGGACCAACCCACATGGGGCAGCAGACCTCTCCTGCCTCACCCGCTGCTCCCCTCAGCAGTGTCTTCGGTCTATCTGCCTGTTCTTGCTCCCCACTGTCTCTGGTGAATTCTCTCACCCTCCCATGCCTCTGGTTTGTACCCCAGTTGTTGTATAAATAAATAAATCTTTTAAAAAACCAAAAGGGAAGCTAGCCCTGCCCCCCACGGTGCCTCCCAAAGCCCTCATCCTGCCTCCAAGGTGGACTTTCAAGATCTAAGCACCGATGCTGCTGATAAAAGACAAGATATTAAAGCCCCACTTGGACCAAGACTTGACCATTGCTGAACTCTCATTTTTTTTATGTTTGCTTTATATGGGGAGATCAAAGGCTGACATAACAGAAGCATCTAAACCAACTTGATGTACTCTACACTGTGATTCTAGTCAGGGGTAGAGGCTTCTTCATCTTTCCCCTTCCCTCGGCTTCTAATTCAAGAATGTGGCTGGAGCCTGCCGTGGGGGACCGGCACTGGCGGGAGGAAGCAGAGGCGAAGGAAAATTCTTCTCAACTTTATTATTTTCCCTTCCCACTGTTTTTAATGCATATCTACAACTTTATTACTTTCTACAATTCAATTAGTAATTATGCTCTACATGATTGGCATTTGCTGCACACGGTGATCCTATTTTTCAAAATAACTCTAGTCCCTGAAGCCCTTTCTCTCCCCTTCTACATTACTCAGATTTCTGTGTACCATCTAAGATTCTCTCCACGCTTTACTGTCAAAGAACAGACCTGGCTCCATTTTTTAGGGCAAATATATGAGTTGGTGGTTGGGGGTGAAGAGAGAGGGACAGACAATTCTGAGCAGCACCTGGGGAGCTAACACAGCAAAAGGAATTCGTGTGTAGGTGATGGAGTAAAGACAACTGCAGAGTTTTTATATCTGTTCCGGATTTAAGTGATTCCTTTGTTATCAAAAATCACTATGTCAGCATCAATAACCTACTGATTATAAAATGTCTCCTTGGCAGAGAGAGAGAGAGAAAATTAACATTTAATGAATACTTGCCATCTGCCAGGCACTGTGTAAGGCTGGTGGTTCTGAGCATTTCTGTGGTCAAGGAATCCTCTGGGATTCTTGCAGAAACTATCAAATCTCTCCCTTTGAAAAATTCAAATGCACACAAAATTTACATAGAATAACAGAGGCAGAAGACATCCTGAAGCACAACTATGGGCCTCAGATTAAAACCTCTGTGTAGGGGGGCGGGAGGGGAGGGATTGGGATCAGAATGGGGGGGTTGCAATTGTATGGGGAATATAAAAATAAAATTTATTATTTAAAAAAAAAAAGAAAAGAAAACCTCTGTGTAAAGTCCTTATATCTAAGAGCACGGATGGCATTACTAAGACACCAGTTTTCCCACCTTTCAGATGAGGAGATACACCCAAGGTCACATATGTAATAAATCAGTGGTAGAAACATTTCAACCAGAGGTGTCTAAGCACTACAATTTGCTTCTCTAGATGAAAATGTCCTTCTGTTTTTACTGTTACTGTAACTACACGGTTTATTTCTAAATGAAGAAACAAAGGTTATGTGTCCAAGTGAAACCTACACGACCATTCAAGATTCACACAGGAACTCAAGAAGCTCAGGATTCTCAGAGGCTCAAACCCCACCTCCTATCACCCAAAGCCCCGCTCCTCCGACCCCACCCACGAGCCAGGAAAACATTCAAAATGGCAATTTTCTTAGAGGGTTCATATTCCTCAGAACAAGCAGCAATCTCTCTTTAAAATAATTCCTCAGTCAAAATGTGAGTTAAAAGACCACTCAAAGCCTATGAGTATGAAAAGAAATTTAATTTTAGAATATGACATGAATATAAAAGGAAAACAATGCATATAATTGTTTCTTTACATATTCCATTACATACATACACACTTATATATAACAGTCAAATAAGAATGAAAATTTAAAAACAGTGAAGTGAAATAGGAAACCTTGCTTCTCTTGCTGAGCAAGCTCAGGGATCGGGCAAAAGTAACCCCTGCTATGAAGAAAGGACCCTGTGACTGGGAAATGTTTTCCCAACAAGTCCTGCTGGTCGCTAAACACGCCTAGGGGAGTGCTCAATGGCTCCTGAGCCAGCTAGGCTGCAGCCTCACACACTCCAGTTTCCATGGTAACCCTGGCACTCCAGCTCCTCACTAGCCCCTCCACCAACTCTCCACTGGTGGAAAGATCTCGGGCTTTCCATAGTGAGTTTAGGATTGGGTTAATCCCCACTGGCTTGAAAAGTTCTCTTAGGAATCCAAATCTTTCCCAAATGCCAGGACAATCCTGCCAAATGCTGGAAACTCAGATTTAGACCCAAGGTCCTATCTTCAGTGCAGAAGTTTCAGGGTAAAGGAGGACAAGGATGAGCTCTTTCCTAGGAACAGGAATTCAACTTCAAAAGAGCAGAATAAGAGCCACCAGCTTCAAGCACCTGTGCAAGGGCCTGGCATGAAGACAGAAAGCAGACAGTCTGGAGAAGTCCCTTCCCAAAATTGGCTGCCCCAGTTCTGCAAGGTCACACAGGGAGTCAGTGTGGGGCACAGCCCCAGTGACCACAGACTCTCCGAGAAGGCAGCATTTTAAACCGTATCTAACACAGGTGCCAATGAGGAAAGCTGAGGAGAAACACGGCTCTTGAGGAGAACAGATGGCTCTGCTCATTCCGGGATCAACTGGCTTCACACGCAGGTGAAACAAGACCCCGCCAGAACATCCAGGGACCACTGCTGTCAACAGCCCTGCATTACTCATTTCCCAAGGGTGTTCCCATGTCATTCCTGACTAACTCTGGAAGGACATTCAAGGCAAAGAACTTTCCTTTATGGAGGATCAACATAGTTTCAGTTATGGCTCGTTAAGTACCGGCTCCTTTACTAGGTTTTGGCACTCAGGTACAGTCAGTGCCCCCTAATTCTCTTTCATTGCTGCAGTGGAGTTTCTCAAACCACAGTCATTGGTCCCAGTGTGGAGGCCCATAGCTGTAAAAGACTAGAAACTCCAGCATCTACGGTTTTCACAGATCCAGCTGGTGAAGCTCACCCAGTGCAAACCTGAATCAAGGGGATGTGGTTGGCATTTTTATGCTTGTGTTCTCTGCCACAAATATTCTGCCTCCTCCTGACACCACATCAAACCTTATCGCAATTCAACTCAGAAAGAAATGAAATTTTAAAAGGTGCAAGAAGCATTTTCAAAGAGATTATACCAACATGAAAAATAAACATGACAAAACAAATTTAAAAACATGGATTTTTTAAAAAATTGTTTTAAAATCAAAATTTTTTTAATTTTTTTAAATTTTAAAAAATACTGGCTCAAAAATACCCACCCACCAAGTCAGAAGGGAGATAGTACCCTTCTGTAGCAAATGATAAAAGGCTTTTTTATCTTTGAGTTCCCCATAACACTCCACAGGATTAGAATAGTCACATACTGCAAGGTAGAAGGTTATGTTCTTTTTTCTTCAAATCCAGATTCCAACTAGATCACAGCTTCTGTAAAAAAAATGACCTATCATACCCTTAACGCAAGGGACAGCATACTCAATAAATAACTCCAATGAAACACACATTACCCGAGTATCACATAAACTGCCCAAGGGGCGAGCTATCTAAAAGCATGTGCATGTGACAAACACCTCTCTCACCACACCAGCCTGGAACACTAGCCTGGCTTACCGATTCCACTCATCCCCAGAATGTCTCTATATCTCCACTCCTCCCTCAAATGCAACCACAGAATGAATGAAAAGGTTATCAGGTCACTGCTCTGCGCTCTCTACCTGATGCCAGAACATAGCAAATAGGCTTTCCTCCAAAGAAACACTCAGACAAATCAGAAAAGGAAGTGTGGACACTCCATCACTCTCGTCATACTAAAACAAGTTTTTGCTTGAATTCAGTGATAGCTGGTACCAAGGAATTTAATTTTTTCCCAATAAGAAAAACAGTCCAACAATGAATTAGCTAATATGTATCTTAAAGAATCATATAAGTTGCTCTCGAGATAGGGGCTCTAAGCACCATTATAATCCTACCCATCAACTGTTCACAAATGATCCACTGAAAGGCCAAATTTCACATTGGTCCTTTACTTTCGCTGTTATAGCAGCAAAAGAAAGAAAATAAAGAAAAGGACTCACACCAGACACAAACCCCAATCCAGTCATCTTTTGTCTCAGAAATAACACAGCATTTTCAATAGTTTTAAAACAGATCAGAAAATCATACTTTGTTGAGAAACTGCTTCCACATAGAGGCCTGACTCAGTTCCACACACAAGGCAAGAATGTCCCACTGCTTAACGAAGTAGGCACAAACCAGACATTCTTACCTGCCATGTGCCACTCTCCAGGCAGTGAGGCTTTACACCAGGTCAAAGTCATGCCATTGCTCACCTCAAACTCACGGACATGCCCAACCCAGTCAGAGGTCTGGCCCCATCACCAATCACTCTCCATGCGCAATCTGACAAGGAGAGGTCAGTATAGCAACAGCTCCTTAAAACACTGGTGAAAGCCTTAAGTGCACCCAAAGAACATTTTCTCCTTTAAGTCCTCTCAGTCCTGCAAACATCAATGCTCACACTTCCTTCCTCCGACTCCAACTTGCTCTCAAGGATGTGGTCTAGCCCGCATCCCAGATCCCTAAGAAGGATGCACTAGAATCCCATTCGTAAGGAGTTGTCCTGGACATGAAGCCATTCAGGCCCATCCCAGTCACACTCCGGAGCTTCCGTACATACAGATCTTTCAGCAAACCTCTAGAAAGCTGTCAGTGACTTTCCCTGAGTCACAGTGATTTGGCACCGAAGTATTACATTGGCACCAGAAATGTTTTAGGTGAGAGGAAACTGATGGAAATGAGTTCAGCAACCACACAACTATTTTGGCATCACTGAGGAAAGGGAGAGAAGGATGGAGAGACACAACTTAACCGAAATTTGATAATTTTAACATTCTAAATTCTCCTTTCTCAAGATCACAGATCAAATATCCTATAATCTCACACCCAAGAAATAATTTAAAATTTCTAGGAAAGCTAGAAATTTTTTGAACACAATAAGGTACTGAAGAATATAGCTTATGAGATTAAGAGCTTTCCCAAAGCTTGAGGTGGAAAAGGGTGAAAGGGTATCTATCTATCTGCCTTAGAGCCCATTTAGATTACCTTTCCAAAAAATGGCTTTTAATAAAACAAAAAACAAACAAGAAACAACCAAAAACCCCATAATACTATCAAAACAGAAAAGCCCAAAATATCAGTTAAAAATAACATCAATCCACTGGGATTGACAGTAGTTAAAAAAAAAAAAAAAAAATCAGAGTTAAGCACAAATTTCATATTAAAAAAAGTACACTCTGCCTAAGCAAATACACTGAATAAGCACTAGAACCCACCTTGTCTGTCCATTTACTGTGCTGTGTAAGCTGCCTTGTTAGTGGTTTTTCCCATAATAGTGGGGGGAAAAAAAAAAAAGACAGAAAGTTGCTAGTGCTGGTTCAGAAGGCAGAGTGTACGGGCATCATCCAGTGAGTGGGGTTAGAAGTATCAGTGAGGTCACAGGATTAGCTGACTTTCACAATTCAAAATGCAGCAAGCAAGCTGCAAGTCCAAGCTTCTCTGTAAGTAGTAATGACTCCTGCCCGCTGCAGAGAAAATCCTGGGTAGACAGGAGAGGTTGGATCCTTCAGAGGAATGCTAGGTTATGAGAGAAACAAGAGCATTAATCACATTTATAAATATTTCTTTATGCAAACATCCTACCTAAAAGCTAGAGTGTATAGTTAATATTTCCTATAAATTGCGCATAAAAGAAAATTGATAATTTAGAGCTCACAACCAGAGTAATCATTTTGTACATTTGCTCTAATCTCAACTCATTAAACCATCTCAATGGCAATAACAGCCCCCACTTCATTAAGTGCATAAACTAAGGTATAGACTACTCTGAGTTCTTTAGGTATTTTACTCATTTGTCCTCACAACCACCTGGACATTAGGTTAACAATCTTGCCATTTTACAAGTGCAGAATCTGAAGCCTACACAAATTAAATTGCCCCAAGACACATAGTTATTGGGCAGTGAATCTGGGAACTGAATCCAAGCCTAAGTGAATGCAGAGTTCATATTCTTACCACTACTATTTCTCTCACTAGCAAATGTTTACTAAATGCCTACTAGATGCAAGGCACTGTCTTAATGAAAATAAGAGAAAAACAGAAGACAAGAGGCCTCTCCTGACCCTTGTCTTCCAGAAGAGAAAACAGTTTGAGATTGACAACACATGAGAAATAAATAACTATAATAAATCATATTAAACAGCAATGTTTTAGAAAGTCAAAGAGTTCAAAGGAAAAAGTGTATCTGGCTGGGTTAGCCAAAGAAGCTTTCAAAGAGGAGGTAGGGTTTCGGCTAGACTTTGAACAATGGCTAAGATTCTCACTGCTAAAAATTAATGAGCAGGTGCTAAATCAGTAGTTTATACCTAGGGATGATCTTGCCTCCTCCTCTCATTTTGGAATCATCTGGCAATGCCTGGAGGCATTTTTGGTGTGAGAACTGGGCAAACTGCTGAGTAGAGACCAGGAATGCTGCTAAACCTCCAACAATGCACAGGGTAGCTCCACAGTAAAGAATTTTTTGAACCAAATGTTGCATAGTGCCAAGTTGAGAAACCCTGTACTAAAAAAATGTCTTTTTGAATGATGTTGAGAATACTATTAGTGATGATGATAATAAAACTGGTTTATCTTTTTCAAAGAACATGTTATTTTTATAAAATCACCATTGAAAAACTGACTGTTTCCATTGTGTAAAAGAAATAGATGGCACATAACTGGATCTGTGGGCTTAGAGAGTGAAGGAGTTCAGATCTGGGAGCAGTTATCGTCCAGAGAGCAGAACTAAGCTATGGAAGTAGACCAAGCTGTTAAGGGGGGTAAAGCAAAAGCAGAGATGAACAGAGAACTTAAGACAGACCACCAACAATCACAAGAAGCGGACACGCAGGCAGACAACAATAGGTCGCTCAGAAATGGAGAAGAATTAGGGGCCTCCCCTGGTGGCGCAGCGGTTGAGCGCTGGGCTGCAGGGCTGCCCGCAGCTTCTGCAGCGCCCGTTTGTTCCCCGGCCGCCGGTGAGGGTCCCACAAAAAAAAAAGAAAAGAAAAGAAAAGAAAAAGAAATGGAAAAGAATTAGAGAGGAGGAAGGAAGACAAGAATAATGCAGCATCGGGCCTCCCCGGTGGTGCAGTGGTTGAGCGCTGGGTTGCGAAGCTGCCCGCGACCTCTGCAGCGCCAGTTCGATCCCCGGCTGCTCCCGGCCACCGGAGGAGGGTCCCACATGGCGCGCAGACCTCTCCTGCCGCCCGCTGCTCCCCTCAGCAGTGTACTTCGGTCCTTCTGCCTGCTCTGCTCCCCGCTCTGGCTCTGGTGAATTCTCTCACCCTCCCGCGCTTCTGACTATACCCAGTGCATGTACGAACAAACAAACAAACAAATAAATAAAAATACATGCCTCATTTAAAAAAAAAAAAAAGAAGAAGAATGCAGCATCATTTCATCATTTGCAGACAGAGGACATGACCAGGAACAGAGAAAAGTGAAACACCATGGCTTCATTCAGTGGAAGGTCATTCATTATCTGTGGACCTCCACCATTCTGAATCACTAATACTTTTGAGACTCTAATAAAAACTATATATTCTCTCCTTCAGAAAATGCACATATGTACCTACATATAAAATTACATCAACAATATCAGACAAGTTAAGAATACCTGCTCTAAAACTAAAATGTTAAACTGACTGGGCCTCCCTTGTGGCGCAACGGGTTAAGACGCAACCTATGAAGCTGTCCGCAGCCACTGCAGCACGAGTTCCATCCCTGGCCGACCAGGCTGCTGCCCACATGGTGCAGCAGACCTCCCCTGACTTGCCCCCTGCTCCCCTCAGCCGGTGAGGGTCCGGTGAGTGTATTTCAGTCAATCTGCTTGTTCTGTTTCCCACTCTGTCTCTAGTGAATCCTCTCACCCTCCGCACCCCAGTTCTTGCATGCATAAATAAATAAATCTTTAAAAAATAAAAATAAAATATTAAACTGGCTTAATTTAAATTCATTTCTTTCTTCCAAAAAATGGAACTGTCATCATAGAAAGATAATATCATTTTTTGATTAGCTTTCCACAAATGAAAGCAACAAAAGTAGAACTGAAGCAAACATGTTTGGTTTTGACTCATGGATATATAGGGGGAAATGTTTATTTTTTAAAGATTTATTTTATTTATTTATGCATACAAGAGCAGGAGTATAGGCCAGAGGTATGTGGGGGAGGGGCAAGGAGATTCACCAGAGACAGAGTGGGGAGCAGAACAGGCAGATCTACTGAAATACACTGCTGAGGGGAGCAGCAAGTGAGACAGGAAAGGTCTTCTGTGCCATGTGGGTCAACTCCCTGTCTGGGGATCGAGCTCATGCTGCAGTGACTGCTGATAGCTTCATCATGCCAAGACTTAACCCGTTGCGCCACCAAGGAGGCCCACAGGTGGAAATAATTCAAACACTGACTTGCCTTAATCAGACAGCTCAGTTTAGAAGTCAAAAGCATGGTGGAAAGAAGAAAGATCAGAACATGCATTCAAGTAAAGAAATCTAATTTTCTAAAAAAGAATAAAGATTTGTCCATCAGTATCAAGCTTTTTTGGTTCTCTTTCTCTTGCTGGTGCTTCAAATATGTAAGTAATTATGCTCATGTCCAGTAGACTTCATCTGTTATACAAGTCTTATAAAACAAACCAATTCGTTATTTTAGTTATAATTTACTACTATACATTTTAACAATTAACACATGCTTCCCCAATATTATTCCAATTGAGTCTCATAAGAAACCTGTGAAGTAGATTTAACTATTATCCTCATTTTCAGAGGCAAAAACAGGCTCATAGAGAATGAATGGCTTTTCCAAACCAGAGAAATGATGACTCAGATCAAGCCTGTCTACAAATCCCAAGGTCTTTCCTCAGAGGAAAGTACAACAGCCTTTTACCAAAATGAACCCAAGGTGCAAACAACAGTGCCAACACTACGTAATCCTTCTTGTCCTAAATATTCTCAAAATCACGTTACATGATTTGATTTCCAGGGCCCTTCAGCATGAGTTGTTTATCAAGGAAGCATCACTGCATAAACAAGACTAAAGTCTATTCCATGTTTACTGATGATATTCTCAGCATGCCTTCGCTTGGTTTCACAAATTAGTTTACACTTGTTTTTAATTTGCTTAACAAGTATTCTTAAGATATTTTTCATGTCTCCCATCTGCCCAAGAATGCAGGGACCCTGTAGGTCTGTGTTCACAGCTCTACTCCTCAGCACCTGGGACAGTGCTGAGTAGCTGCTCAAGAACCATCTGCTAAATGAACTCAAGGGCAAGTGCCTTGTAATTTTTACACTGCTTCTGGTCGCAGCCATTCTACACTGGGAATTCAAAAAAGGCTACTGGCTGACCAGATGCAGAAAGGAGCAACACTCATTAAGAATATGGAATAAGAGCACTTAGTACCTTTTTTCTCCTCTTTCTTCCCCTCAGACCATTTCAATCTTGTTGGTGTCATCATGACAGGCGGGGAGTCAGAAAATAACTGTAATAAGAAAAAATTTAGTGGCGTAAATGTGCTACTGTCATTCCTATAGACAGGCTACTGAGGAATTACTTGTTCAAATTCAACATGAGAAGTTTTAATGAGACTGATATATTTTTATCATTAATCTTAACTTATTTTATTGCTAGCTTAATGAAGTAACTCTGCCTGAGATGCCTGAAGGACCAGCCCCCAGCTAATGCAGTGCCAGGTAGGCCTGGCTCAAAGGTCACCCACGCTGTGGAGTCTCCCAGAAAGAATGATCCCTCCAGCACTTTGTGGAGCTATTTCACTGTATTTATCTTCTCTGCTTATGACTGGCTAGCTCCTCCTTCAACTCATATGTGTTTGTTGAATAAACCAGTAAAAATCTACAAAAATAAGACAGCATAAATGAAAGGATTAACTGAGAAAAGGGAATAACTGAACGGTCCAGTGAAACAAAGGAAAAACAGATGACAGTATATCCGTTGTCCTCCTTCTACAAATGTACACAGAAAGAGAGAAAAAGTCCAGAAAACAGTATCTTACTAGGTTCATATTTTCTTTGCTGGCTCTCTTCAAGTCACCAAAAGCTACAGATTCCGGAGTAGGGGTCTTATTTTTCTTTTCTGACATCATCGGATTTCCTAGGACCTTCCGCTGATTTAGGAAGAGAAAAATATTTGGTTTAGAAACATCGACTATGTTCATATTATAGCTAAACCCACCTTCAGAACCATAGTTTCTTAGGCTAAAAAATAAACTCAGTTTTCTGATAAATTATGTAGGGGCCCTCCCAGGCCATCTGACACTAGGGAAGTCAAAGTGTTCTATAAAAGAAAAACCCTGAAATCATCGCCTCTCTTTAGTGATCACTTTTCCTTTACTGGGCTGAAATATTAGTGCAACTATATAGTCTATTTAAAATAGCTTATACAGGCCAATCACAGTTGCATTTCTAAGAACATGAAAGAAATGCCAGTTCCTTACCAGTGTAGTTTCTTTCCCCTGAAGACATGCTATCTCTGGCGGTATAAAGAGTGCCCCCCTTGTCTCCCCACCAAGGGATACTTATGCTGCGTCCACTCCAAGACTTTGCTTCCCTCTCATGGCCTCATACAGGATTGGAAAATTTGGAGGAATTCTTTAAGAGTTTCTAATATAGCCACAAGAGAATACAGGTCTTCTTAAGAGGGTCAGATGACTCTACTGACATTCTGAGTAGGACTAAAAGCCCTTTCATCTCTGAGCAGCTCAGATACTGATGTAACTTACTGCAACAGCTGACAGCGACAATTCTACCATCTTTGGAGAAATCTTCCATTTTTCTCCTTAGAGAATAAATTTTGAATTCCAAAAAAGGAATATATCAAAACTAGAATAAACTCTAAATAAACTCTATAATATATACAGCAGAATATCCTGATGTAATACATTATTTATAAGAGAGGAGGTGGTCTGAGGGGAAAAAAAAACCTAGCCCAAAAATGATCAAAGCAGGATATAAATCAAATAGTTAAAAACAGAAATGCTGGCAAATAAGACCAGTCCCGCTTCCTTTCACAGGTCAAATACTACCTCAAAGCAAGCTAAACTGGGGGCCCAGAAGCTACAGGACAGCTGCACAGTTTCCAGTGAACTTATGAAATAAGACATCTCCTTATTTCACTGCTATTAGGCAGAAACCCATATCAATTATTAGCTCAAAGGTCTCTTCATTTACAATGAAAACCTTTTATTCTTGTTTTATGAAACTAGCTAACATTTTTTTTAAGTTGCTGATAGAATTCTAAAGTTCTAAATTCCCTCAGTAAAAGATGGGCAGTTGCCAAGAGGATATACTATTTATTTACATTTCAAGCAACAATTAGCAATACATCTAGAACCAACTGCTTACTACACTCACCTAACTTTAGTCAAAGAAACATCTATTTGAGAAACATTTATTTGACTATAACTTCTCCTGTTATCAAGACAGGGAAGTCAGGGCCTCCCTGGTGGCACAAGGGGTTAAGCACCTCACTATGAAGCAATCTGCAGCCTCTGCAGCACACGTTCGATCCCCAGCCGGCCAGGGAGCAACCCACATGGCGCAGCAGACCTCTCCTGACTCGCCCGCTGCTCCCCTCAGCAGTGTACTTTGGTCAATCTGCCTGTTCTGTTCCCCACTCTGTCTCTGGTAGATCCTCTCACTACCCCCCCATCTCTGGCTTGTACCTCAGTTCTTGTATGCATAAATAATTAAATCTTTAAAAAAAAAAAAAAAAAAGACAGGGAAGTCAGAAGGAATGCCAGACTTTCAAGTAAAAAGAACCAATTTGTTAAGTTTTTACTAGCCATGTCTGAGCAAGTGAATGCACTACTAGGATGAGAGCAAAGGGATTTTTATTTTGTGTGTGGTAAAACACACACATAAAATGTGCCATTTTAACCATTTTTTTTTAAACATTATCATCGTGATTTATTTTTTTAAAGATTTATTTATTTATACAAGCACTGGGTACAGTCAGAAGCACGGGAGGGTGAGAGAATTCACCAGAGCCAGAGCAGGGAACAGAACAGGCAGACTGATGAAATACACTGCTGAGGGGAGCAGTGGGCACGGCAGGAGAGGTCTGAGAGCCATGTGAGACCCTCACAGGTGGCTGGGGATCGAGCCGGCGCTGCAGAGGCTGCAGGCAGCCCCGCAGCCCAGCGCTCAACCACTGCGCCACCTGGGGAAGCCCCATTTTAACCATTTTTAAATGGAGAGTTCAGTGGCATCAAGCATAGTCAGATTATATAAACATTAACCCCACCCATTTCCAGAACATTTCAGATTCCCAGAGAAAACCTCTGTACCATTAAACAATCACTCTCCACCTAATTTCCCCCAAACCCTAGCAACTACCATTCTATCTTCTGCTCCTATGAATCTGATTACTCTCTTAGAGCAAACGTCTAAGTACGCCATATAAGTAACAGAACAATTTTTGTTCTTTTATGACTAGCTTATATCACTTAGCACAATATTTTCAAGGTTCACCCTTGTTGTAGCATGTGACATGACTTACTTCCTTTGTAATACTCCATTATCTGCAAATGCTCTTTTATTTCTCCATCTATCAGTGGACACTTGGGTGGCTTTGACCTTTTGGCTACTGTGAATCATGTTGCCACAAACTTGAGTATACAAGTATCTGTTCATGTTCCTACTTTCAATTCTCTTGAGTATGTACCCAAAAGTGGACTTGTTGGATTATGTAGTATTTCTATTTTCAATTATTTAAGTAACAGTCATACTATTTTTCATGGTGATTTACCATTTTAGATTCCCACCAACAGTGCAGTGGAACAGGGCTCCAATTTCTGGAACCTCACCACACTTCTTACTTTGTTGTGTCTTTTTTTAGTAACAGTCATTCTAGTGGGTGTGAATTTGATTCTCATTGTGGTTTTGATTTGCATCTTCTCATGTGTTTACTAGCAATTTGTGTAAATTTTCCAGAGAAGTGTCTATAAATCCACTATTGATTTTTTAATCTGGTTGGGATTTTGCTCTGGTTGTTAAAAGTTCTTTAAATACTCTGAATATTAATCCCTTATGTTTTACAAATGTTTTACAAATATTTTCTCTCATTTTATGGGTCCCTTTGACTTTGTGATAGTTAAGGAAATTTTCATGTCAAGCAAAACCAATGTCCCAGAGGCTATTCAGCCCCAATGGATCAGGACTGAGAGTGAATACTAAACTTATCGATTAATGATAATAACTGCAGCTTAAAGAAGAAAATTATATAAATTACAGGGCAATTTTTAGGATACTAATTTTAATTTTATGCAAAGAACTCCTTGATGTTGCCGTCAAGAGTTCATAGATTTTGGAATGTTAAAACAATTTTTAAAAGGAAAAACAGCAGAATAAAAATGTTGCTAATCTCTCTTTAAGTTAACCAGAAACTTGCCTTTATTTATGTCTAGAAATTTGAACTCCATAGTCAAGTTATCTACTGCCACCTGATGGCAGTATCCCTTAACTACAAGCTCCAATTGTCCATGAAGACTGATGAATTGAGTCTAATCTGCAAACATACTGGTGGTGGCAATAGCACAGAAATAATAGATAGATTAGATAGATAGATAGATAGATAGATAGATAGATAGATAGATAGATAGATAGATAGATAGATAGATAATTTATTTTAAAAGCAAGATATTTAATGAATTTAATACAAAGATAGAAAATACAACAATGGATCAAAATACTAAGATTATAAAAATTTGAGTTACCTAAAATTCACATTAGAAAATCTACTTCCTAACAATTTCCCTAGTGTCTTACAACTTTCTCATTTCTCTATGACTTCAGCAAATCACACAATGAAGCATGTAGCACAAAGCAGGTCATGAAGCAAAAGAGACTCATTACTCTGCTTAGGAACAAGAACTCTGTCGGCAATCCAAAGGGAGAAAGAAGGACCTTTATTTCTTTTACTCCACTTATAGAGTTCCTTTTCTGATTTGAAAAACAGCAAAATGCTTTGAATAATAAAATTTTTTCCAAGTTCTATCCTTAACCCCTTACAGATGAACCCTTTATAGGATGCCAAAGAAAAGAACACTGTTATGTATAAGAAAAATCAGACTGTTAGTTACATTTTCTCACAGTCAATGCTAAAAGGCAAGCACAGCATATCTACCTTAATAAGGCCACTGAAGGACCGTGAACGGGCCCTCTTCTGTACCCGGGGAGTAGAAGGTTCTTGCCCTGGTGTTTGGGTCACAGATTGCTTAATAAACTAAAAGAAAACATAGCAAACATTTTGTTAATATTTCCCCATCAAAAGGGAGCATTCTATGACAACCCAATACTGTAAGTGTAATGATCCAGGAAAAAAAAGGAGTAAGTGAGTCCATACATAAATAGATTAGCAGGTTGGCAAATCAGTGAGGCAGAAATGATGCTGCCAAAAAAAAAAAAAAGTCAAAAATTACTCTGGAAATTACTCTGAGGGGGTAATTAAATTAAAAAGTACATACATACCATCAACGTACAAAAAAATGAAATCTAAATTAGATCAAACTTTTAGAATCGTAAGAGGACTGCGGAACACATTAAGTAACACTACAAGTATGGCAGAAAAATCCAGACTATGAAAACTAATCTGATTTCTTTCACAAGTACAGAGAGAGAGATGTATGTATGTGTGTTTAAATGCAATGCAGGGGGCATCCTCGGTGGCGCAAGGGGTTAAGCACCATACTATGAAGCAATCCGCAGCTTCTACAGCACGAGTTCGATTCCCGGCTGGTCAGGGAGCAACCCACATGGCGCAGCAGACCTCTCCTGACTTGCCCACTGCTCCCCTTAGCAGTGTATTTTAGTCAGTCTGCCTGTTCTGTTCCCCACTCTGTCTCTGGTGAATTCTCTCATTCCCACATTTCTGGCCTGTACCCCAGCTCTTGTATGCATAAATAAATAAATATTTTTTAAGAAAAATAAATGCAATGCAGTATCCTGGAGGAGAGAAACAATTATTAGTGTAAAAACTGGTAAAATCTGAATAAAGTCTACAATATTACTAGTAATGTATCAGTGTTAGTTTTAACAATATTAGCATTAGTAGTAATTGGGTAAAAGTCACATGGGAATTCTCTGTACTATTTTCGCAATTTTCCTCTAAATTTAAATTACTACAAATTTAAAATGTATTAAAACAAGCACACTTTGGCAATTTTTTAGGGAGAAAAATGAAGGCAAAGAGTGAAGGAAGGGCCTAATACTAAAAGGGACCTAGTACATGTATCGAGCAAAAAAAAAAAAAGGAAAAAAGGGCATCGTGCCCTTTGGTCATGCCACTTCTAGGAAGTAATCTACAATGAAAGTACTTACAAACAAAATTTGTCAATGAATAAATGACCTACTTCCTCAATGTGCCCAGTAGATGGCAAACTGTATATATATTAGGTTATATGATGAAATATGCAACCATTAAAAATGTTTACAGCCTTTTAATGACATGGAAAATGTTCATGATATGATGTTAAGTGAAAATGGTAAGATATAAAAAACTAAATATATATTATAATCTCAATTAAGCGAAAGGATAAAATGTGAAATACATGTTCATGGTAAGAAACTCCAAAATGTTATCAGTGGTTATTTCTGGATAATTATAGGAGATTTTTTTACTTTTTTCTTTATACTCGTCTGGAAGTTTAAATGTTTCTATAGTGAGAAATTTTTCATGGAGAAAAATTAGGAAGTAGTAAAATTATAGTATCTTCAAAATAAATGGCAGTATTTTAAATCCTGCAAGGAAGTTTTTGTTGTTAATGGTTTTTTTGTATTTTTGCATGGAAGTCTATGGTGTAGACTAGAGGTGATAGTGGGTGGAGAGTGTGTGAGAGGATTCACCAGAGACAGAGTGGAGAGCAGAACAGGAGGATTTACAGAAATACACTGCTAAGGGGAGCAGTGGACGAGACAGGAGAGGTCTGCTGTGCGATATGTGGATAAGCTCCCTACCGAGGAATGATAGTGCCGCAGCCATGATAGTGCTGAGACTTAACCCCTAAGCCACCAGGGAGTCCCAATGCAAGTTTTTGAGCATACATCAGAAAATGTGTATGCTATCATGCTTATTGACTAATGGAGAGATTAAAGAAAGAATACAGTATGATCATAACTCTGTAAAATATATATCCATAGGAATTTGCTCTATTTTTTTTTTATCTTTTTTCCTTTTGACTAAAAGAAATATTCAAAATATAAACACTGTTAAGATGAGTGACTTAATTTCTTCTATCCTTCCCAAAGAAGAAAAAATACTGGGTTTTTTCCTTTGTATAATCTTTAACCGTCAATGTTCTTGACGAGAAAAATTATACGTTTCCTACCTGAATAGCTGTCATAGTTTGTATTCCGAATTAAATTATTAAACTGCTTTGAATCTGCAATACTCAGCAAACACCCTCACAAATTGCTAGATCTCAAAGCAACTTCAAAGAGAGTGATAGAAAACTTCCCTTAAAGCACTTCCCTAATTGTTGAGAACAGTTCAGTCCAACATTTTCTGAACACTTATTTATGTCTGGTCCTATATTTAAGATAAGGTATTAAAAAAAATAATAAAAAGACTCCCCCCTCAAGTAAGTCCCAGTTGAATAAGAAGTCAAGAAGCTGACCTTGTCTGTTCAGCTAAAATTCAAGAGAAATTGAGACAAATTTCCTGAGGAAAAAAACTGACCAATCATTAGGATTCACTCAAGCAACATTCAGAGTCTCAAAATGGCAAATAAGAGGCCTAATTTTGCTCCTATAGTTAAAAAATAAACAAACTTAGTCACAAGAATTCCTAATTTTAGTATCAGATTAAAACCTTGTTGTTTTCCAAATGCAAACAACTCGTTAGTAAGAACTACTACTTTTGTTCTCTTTAATCTTTACAACCATGAAACATGGACATTACAATTACCACTTTACAAACAAAATTGAAATTCAGAAAGATTAAGTTATTTGCCAAGAGAATCTGACAGGTTTAAACTGTGAGACAAGGGCCTCCCCGGTGGTGCAGCAGGTTGATACAGCGCTGTGAAGCTGTCCGCAGCCTCTGCAGCACGGGTTCGATTCCCAGCCGGTCAGAGAGAAACCCACATGGCACGCCAGACCTCTGCTGTCTTGCCCGCTGCTCCCCTAAGAAGTGTTTTCAGTGTCCTTCTGCCTGTTCTGCTCCCTGCTCTGTCTCTGGTGAATTCACTCACCCTCCCGCACCTTTGGCCTATACCCCTTCTCTGGTATAAATAAAATAAATCTTAAAAAAAAAACAAAAAAAAAACTGTGAGACAATATAACTGCTGATTCTCTCTCAGCATACTTGGTACATAACCAAAATTAGAGAAACTCTTAACTATAGTTAGATCCTCCTGTTTGTTTGTTTTTTTTAAAGATTTTAGTGTTTTTTTTTTTTAATTTATTTATGCATACAAGAAACGGGTGTAAGCCAGAGGTGTCGGGGGTGGGAGGATTCACCAGAGACAGAATTGGGGAGCAGAACAGGCAAATCCACTGCTGAGGGGAGCAAGACAGTGGGCAAGACAGGAGAGGTCTGCTGTGCCATGTGAGTTAGCTCCCTGGCCAGGGATCAAACTCATGCCGCAGGGGCTGGTAATAGCTTGATATTACTGAGACTTAACCCTGGGCCACAAAGGAGGCCACAGATCCTCCTGTTTAACTATAGAAATCCAAGCGCCTCCACTACTTTCCCCCCTGGGCAGTAGTACAGAGATCACACCCACAGTTCCACAGACAAGTTCACTTTCTCGAATGAATCAATACTTGGTGCTAATAAGAGCCAAAACTTATATGAGATTCTTAACAATATTCCCATTGGGGCCTCCCTGGTGGTGCAGGGGTTAAACACAGTGCTATGAAACTATCACCAGCCACTGCAGCATGAGTTCAATCCTCAGCCAGCCAGGGAGCTAACCCACATGGCATAGCTCCCCTGCTGCTCCCCTCAATAGTGTATTTCAATGGATCTGCCTCATCTGCTCCCCAACAATGTCTCTGGTGAATCCTCTCACTACCCTGCACCTCTGGCCTGTACCCCAGTTCTTATATGCATAAATAAATAAATCTTTTTAAAAAAATAATATTCCCATTGATTCTATATTCCAAAAGCCCTGTCATGCTTCCCTGACTTCAGGCACCTGTCTAATAAGTTGTCTCTTCTTTGCTGACTCTGGCATATTGTGAACATGTTGGTACAGCTCTCTCAGTGCCTCATCTGTACGCTGCTGGGTCTCCTCGTGGGAGTAGGAATCTACTCGGTTCCATTTCTGAGATTTTGTGAGTTGGAAGGACTTGGTATGACATGAAGCTGTCAGATCAAGATCATCCTAGAAAAAAATTGAAAAAAGTGAATTAATACAACCTGCCAGTTTTATTTTCAGGCCCCATAAACCTGGAACAAAAAGAGAGGTTTGGGGGAAGAACATGGTATGTTCTAATACCCAGGAAGACAAATCTAAGTACCATTAGCAGATAAAGATAAACCTATAATTATAGGTTATATTAATAACTCACTCCCATGACCTGCCCAGAGAGCCTAAGTTCCTAAGAGTTCGGTTTTCAAAGCATCTGTTAATTTCATGTCATTCTCACTACTGTGCTTTGAGGTAAGCAGGGAAGGTATTATTCCCATTTCATAGAGGAAAAACTGAAGCTAAGCTGAAGTTTAAAGTGATCTAGGGCCTCCCCGGTGGCGCAGCGGTTGAGCGCTGGGTTGCGAAGCTGCCTGCAACCTCTGCAGCCGGTTCAATCCCCGGCTGCTCCCCGGCCACCGGAGGAGGGTCCCACATGGCGCGCAGACCTCTCCTGCCGCCCGCTGCTCCCCTCAGCAGTGTCCTTCGGTCCTTCTGCCTGCTCTGCTCCCCGCTCTGGCTCTGGTGAATTCTCTCACCCTCCCGCACTTCTGACTGTACCCAGTGCATGTATAAACCAAACAAACAAACAAATAATAAATAAATAAATAAGACATGCCTCTAGAAAATTAAAAAAAAAAAAAAAAAAAAAAAATAAAGTGATCTAAATGACTATTCAAGTGACGGCCTTGTCTTGGAGCCCAAATGCAGGGGTCCTTGGTGGGTGTTCTTTCCCACGCGTGACAACAGGATACACTAACTATACAGCAGGAACAGAAACAACTCTCTAAGAAAAACCACACTCCAGTTAAGCTAGTTGAAATCATATGCTGCTTTCCTGGTCACACCAAACATTTGCTTAAAAAAAGTACAAACAAACCAGAGCAGAAAAAAATAGCATAAGATGACACCTAAAGTTTCTAACAAGACAAACTAAATAGAAATAATTTAAAAATATTTTATCTCAGGCCTCCCCAGTGGTGCAGCGGTTGAGCGCTGGGTTGCGAAGCTGCCCGCACCCTTTGCAGCTCTGCAGCACCGGTTTGATCCCTGGCCACAGGGCGAGGATCCCACATGGCCCGCAGACCTTTCCTGCCGCCTGCTGCTCCCCTCAGCAGTGTACTTCGTCAGTCAGCCTGTTCTGCTCGTGGCTCTGGCTCTGGTGATTTTTCTCACCCTCCCGCGCTTCTGACTGTACCCAGTGCTTATATAAATAAATAAATCTTAAAAAAAAAACTTTATAAAAAAAAATATTTTATCTCTTTGTGTGACTTTTTTTAAATGCCCTGCTTTTAAAGCTCAATAATTATATGTGATCGTGTTAATAAGCATCTAACATTTGCTTTCTAACCTCATGCGGTCTCAAGTCTTAGTTTTTTGATGTAAGAATTAATTTACCACTGAACTTGAAACAATAATGTATTACAGGGCCTCCCCGGTGGCGCAGCGGTTGAGCGCTGGGTTGCGAAGCTGCCCGCAGCCTCTGCAGCGCCGGTTCGATCCCCGGCTGCTCCCCGGCCACCAGAGGAGGGTCCCACATGGCCCACAGACCTCTCCTGCCGCCCGCTGCTCCCCTCAGCAGTGTACTTCAGTCCTCCTGCCTGCTCTGCTCCCCGCTCTGGCTCTGGTGAATTCTCTCACCCTCCCGCGCTTCTGACTATACCCAGTGCATGTATAAACAAAACAAACAAACAAATAAATAAATAAAGCAAGCCTCTGTTAAAAAAATAAATAAATAAATAAAATTTTAAAAATAAAAAAATTTTAAAAAATTAAAAAAAAATAAAGAATGTATTACAGGGCCTCCCTGGTGGCACAAGGGGTTAAGCACCACACTGTGAAGCAATCCGCAGCCTCTGCAGTATGAGTTCGATCCCCGGCTGGCCAGGGAGCAACCCACATGGCACAGCAGACCTCTCCTAACTCCCCTCAGCAGTGTGCTTTGGTCAATCTGCCTGTTCTGTTCCCCACTCTATCTCTAGTGAATCCTCTCACCCCCGACATCTCTGGCCTGTACCCCAGCTCTTGTATGCATAAATAAATAAATTTAAAAAAAATGAAAAAGAAGAATGTATTACATATAATTGTACTTTTATTACTGCAAAGCATTTGTTACTTTCAAACTGTTTATATCATATACAACAAGTACTTAAGGGCTTTATGAAAAAAGGTACTGGTGCAGGGCCTCCCCAGTGGCGCAGCGGTTGAATGCTGGGTTGCGAAGCTGCCTGCAGCCTCTGCAGTGCCGGTTCGATCCCCGACCGCAGGGCGAGGGTCCCACATGGCGCGCAGACCTCTCCTGCCGCCCGCTGCTCCCCTCAGCAGTGTACTTTGTCACTCTGCCTGTTCTGCTCTCCGCTCTGGCTCTGGTGAATTCTCTCACCCTTCCGCACCTCTGACTGTACCCAGTGCTTGTATAAATAAATAAATAAATAAATCTTAAAAAAAAAAAAAAAAAAAAAAAAAATTAAAAAAAAAAAAAAGGTACTGGTGCAATCAATCCACACTATCACTCTTACGTAGAAGATACCATCCACCATGGAGCACCTCTAAATGCAGCCACTGTAAAGGGGCATTTTTATTTGAATACTTAATTTTCTTCTCAATCTTCTTCCTTATTTTATTCTTATGTTTTTAAGATTTATTTATTTATGCATACAAGAGCTGGGGTACAGGCCAGAGATGCAAGGGGTAAGAGGATTCACCAGGGACAGAATGGGGAACAGAACAGGCAGATATACTGAAGTACACTGCTGAGGGGAGCAGCAGGCGAGTCAGGAGAAGTCTGTTGCTCCCTGGCAGGCCGGGGATCGAACTCATGTTGCAGAGGCTGTGGATTGCTTCATGGTGCAGTGCTTAACCACTTGCACCACCAGGGAGGCCCTTCTTTCTTATTTTAAAATAGCTAGATGATTTTTAAATCTAATACTGAAAACATTTTATTTTCCATGGCTTTCCTTTTAGAACCTCACTGTTTAAGAACTTCACTAATTTTAATTGCTTGAACTAAGAGCAAGTTCCTATTCTTGGGCCTCCCCGGTGGCACAGTGGGTTGAGCACAGCACTATGAGGCTGTCCACAGCCTCTGCAGCACGGGTTCAATTCCCGGCTGGCCAGGGAGAGTCCCACATGGCGTGGCAGACCTCTCCTGTCACACTCGCTGCTCCGCTTGGCAGTGTATTTCGGCCTTCTGCCTGTTCTGCTCCCAGCTCCTTCTCTGGTGACTCCTCTTACCCTCCCACGCCTCTGGCCTGTATCCCAGCTCTTGTATAAAAATAAATAAATCTTTTTTTTTTGTTGTTACTTTGTTATTTTTTATTTTTTATATTAATTTTTTTTTACATCATTGTTCATTTTTAAACAATATTTGCTTCCCCCGACCCCCTCAGGTGTAGTCCCCATAGAGTTTCCTTCACCAATGCACCCGTGCACCATCACCTCAGGCCCCTGTGTGCCTCCCTCCCTTTCTCTGATCCCTCTCCCTCCTCCTACCAAATAAATCTTTGGGGGAAAAAAAAGTTCCTGTTCTTACCTTTGATGCCTGCATCCTCGAGCCCAAATAGTGCAATCTGGCACATTCCCGAATATAAGCAGGAGCCTGGGCAGGATACAAAATTAAACCAGACGGGATAGTTAGTAGTATCTAAAATTGTTTCAAGCCACAGGAACAGTGGTTCTTAAAATGATGTGACTGGCAGATTACTCTAGAAAAAGAAATTTTAAAATGCCCTATTCTATAACTTTCACCAAAAATATATCTCGACAAATCTGATGGGAAAACTATAAAGACACCATCCTACTACTGCTGTTTTAAAAATCAAATATGGCATCTATATACTCAAATGACCCAATAACAAAAATACAGATATCTATAGTAATGTTTATATTCAACAAAAACCACCTCTAAAAGTCTTACAAACAGTCCCCCAGTCATATTTTAGAATTTTTTTTTTAGAGGCATGTTTTATTTATTTATTTGTTTGTTTGTTTGTTTGTTTTGTTTATACAAGCACTGGGTACAGTCAGAAGCGTGGGAGGGTGAGAGAATTCACCAGAGCCAGAGCGGGGAGCAGAGCAGGCAGAAGGACCGAAGTACACTGCTGAGGGGAGCAGCAGGCGGCAGGAGAGTTCTGCGCGCCATGTGGGACCCTCCTCCGGTGGCCGGGGAGCAGCCGGGGATCGAACCGGCGCCACAGAGGCCGCGGGCAGCTTCGCAACCTAGCGCTCAACCGCTGCGCCACCAGGGAGGCCCTTAGAATTATTTTATACAGAATTACCTTATATGATCTTAATAACATAGTAAGTTGTAACTCTTAGATAAGACTAATCAAAAGATTGGACACCACCTAAATATGTATTAACAGAGGAATGTGGGATAAACTCGCAAACATCCATAGAATGCTGAACCATACAGTGATTAAAAATGAAGGAAGGAAAAAGTGAGAAAGGGTAGGAGGGAAGAAAATACCGCCTGTTCTGCTCCCTACTCCATCTCTGGTGAATCCTCTCACCACCTCTGGCCTATACCCCAGTTTTTGTATGCATAAATAAATCTTTAAAAAAAAAAAAAAAAGATTAATGGAGACCCGTTAGCCTCAGAAAGTCTATTACCATTATTTAAAGAATAGATTTTTTTTAAGATTTATTTATTTATGCACACAAGAGCTGGGGTACAGGCCAGAGATGTGGGGGGTGAGAGGATTCACCAGAAACAGAGTGGGGAACAGACCCAAGTACACTGCTGAGGGGAGCAGCGGGCGAGACAGGAGAGGTCTACTGTGCCATGTGGGTTGCTCCCTGCCCGGCCAGGGATCAAACTCGTGCTGCAGAGGCTGTGGATTGCTTCACAGTGCAGTGCTTAACCCCTTGCGCCACCAGAGAGGGCCCCAAGAATATATTATTTTAAATTAAGAGAAATAAAGGTCGTAGGAGCTTTTGGTCTTTCCCCTTTTTCCTAATTAAAGAATCACTGCTCCTCCTTTTATGACCTAGAAGAATGTACTTTGGGGACTATCACCCCGGTGCAGATTTATCAATGAACATGTCCTCTTCAAAAGTAAAGACAAGATCATCCCTTTTCTGTCTGTCATGTGAAGTTTCCCCCTCTGTCCCTGGAGTCCCAGGTCCTTAAACACAGAATAAAATGTCCCTGGTTTACTCTATTATTCCTTAGAATGCACAGTTATGTGAATTCCCCACATGTACATCATTAACTTTTGGTCTTTTCTCCTACTAATCTGTCTGGTGTTAAATTGTTGAACTGCCCCTCAGAAGAATCCAAATAAGGGCGAGTTTTCCCCCTGCACCCAAGCAATATCTAACAGTTAAATTTTTAACTTGAAAAACTATAAAGCAGAGCTCAAAACCAAAAGAGATTTTCCCCCAAACAATATGACAGAACCACATCACCTAATCTATAAGCTTAAAAAAAAAAAAGCCCCAGGGGCCTCCCTGGTGGCACAAGGGGTTAAGCACCACACTATGAAGTAATCCGCAGCCTCTGCAGCATGTTCGACCCCCGGCCAGGGAGCAATCCACGTGGCGCAGCAGACCTCTCCTGCCTCGCCCGCTGCTCCCCTCAGCAGTCTACTTCGGTCAATCTGCCTGTTCTGTCCCCCACTCTGTCAATGGTGAATCCTCTCACCCCCCACCCCGCTTCTCTGGCCTATACCCCAGCTCTTGTATGCAAAAGTAAATCTTTGTGGGGGGAAAAAAAAACTGCTCCAAAAGATACTATAGCTAAAGGGATACCCACAGAGGGTGCAAGAGGCAGATTGGTTCAAATGAAAATATGAGAAGTATAAGTATTTGACAGAAGGAAACAATGTTTCATAGGAAACAACAAAAGGACTTCCCAGATAAAATGGGAATTGACGGTAACTGTACATATGTCTCTAGGAAAAGATGTGGTTACTTGTGTTGGGGAAGAGATAAAGCCAGACTTAGTCAGATAGTAGAGGACTGAACTATAAACAGTTAAAAGGAATTTTAGGAATAATGACAGGGCAGGAAAAACAGAAAATACAAAGAACACTGAATGAGGCAAAAAATAGTATCTAAGCATTAAGGAGGAAAAAAGTCCACCCAAAGAAGCCTAAGAGTAAGACAGACAAAGCCCAAGAAGAACAAACCTGGGATAAAACAGAACCTTAGAACAAGCAATCAAACACACAGAATAACCATTTTTCATCCAGGGGTAAAGTTTAGGGTAGAACCTAGTTAGTCAAAGTGCTGAAGCAGGTGCCCACAAGAAAAATATTCCTGACCTGAATCCAAAGAGAAGACACCTAAGACCAGAATAAATTTCCAAAACAAAGTTATTTTTCTCCTTTAGAGATCAATAGAGGTTCAAAGAAAGTTCATACTAACCTGGAAACAAAGGTAAAGTAGTAAATATGAATCAAAACCCCAAGGATGCAAAGCTGAAAGAGGAATACAGCTGTAGAAGGAAAAGGAAGGTAAAACAGAATGCCTGAAAGAGCCTAATAATTAGAACTTGCACCAAACTGAATTACATCTCTAGGAGACTATTCTTGTTTTATCTCTAAGGTATGTAATAATCTGTATCTTAAAATTCTTCACAGTGATATAATTTACATGTTAAAAGGTATTTGCTGGTGTAATTAAGGCCTGTGTAATGGGGAGATTAGACTAGATTATCCAGGTGGGTCCCAATATAATCACCTGGATCCTTAAAAGCAGAGAATCTTTCCCAGTTATAGTCCAAGGGAAATATGACTACAGAAGAATGACCAAAGAAATGTTTCTGGGCTTTTGTGTCATTGTACACAATTCAAGTACATAGTGAACTCTTATAACTCAACAACAACAAATAAAACTCAATTCAAAACAAGCAAAAGACTTAAGACACTTTTCCAAAGAAAATGCAAATCGGCATAAGCACATGAAAGGCTCAACATCACTAATTAGGAAAATGCAAACCAATTAGGAAATGCCTCATGTTCATTAAGTATAGCTATTAGAAAAGACAAAAACCCAGAAACAAAATAACAAATTTTGGTGAGAATGTGAAGAAATGGCAATCACACTTGTGCAGTTAGTGGGAATGTAAAATGGGATAGCCACTATGAAAAATAGTATGGCAGTTCCCCCCCAAAAAAAATAGAATTACATAACACAGCAATTCCACTTTTCAACTAATAACAACTATTCCAAGAAGGTGATCAAAAATGCTGTGATGACCGCCCCTAGGCTGTCTAGTGCCCTACTAGACCTGAAAATGAAGAAACCCTTCCCCGGCCCACGTGTTTGCATTCCTTTCTTTCCTATATAGTCCTCCTTCACTTGCCCCTTGAGGAAATGGTCTTCTGCAAAGCTAACTCAGCCATTTTCCCATGGTGCCAATGCATGTTAATAAATGGAGTTATTTGTGGAAACAACCTCATCTTTCAGTCTGGCTTTCTAAGCAGTGAGCCATAGGATCTGGTTAACTCATATGAACAAGTTAAGTCGGTAACAAAAAGAATCAGAAATGAATGAACTTAAAAATTCTCAGCCTTTGGGCCTCCCCTGGTGGCGCAGGCAGTTGAGAGCCGTGCTGTGAAGCTGTCCGCAGCCTCTGCAGCACCCGTTCGATCCCGGCCGGCCAGCAAGGGTCCCACATGGCACAGCAGACCTCTCCTGTCTCACCCGCTGCTCCCCTCAGCAGTGTATTTCGTCAGTCTGCCTGTTCTGTTCCCCTCTCTGCCTATGGTGAATTCTCTCACCCTCCCATGAATCTGGCCTGTACCCCGGTTCTTGTATAAATAAATAAATCTTTAAAAAAAAAAATTCTCAGCCTTTCCAGGTGTGAAAAGATGTGAAAATTAAGAAATTGACTATCAGAAAAAGTATACTTAAAAGACCAAGGCTATGACTGTTCAACCTTTTGCTAAAACCTTAGAAACATCAAAAGGTCAAAAAATTCAGTCACATAAAAGGCCCCTTTCAAGAGAGTAAAGGCCTGCCTCACAAATCCTCTGAATCAAACCAGAAGGACTCCAGGAAGTGTAAAGGTATTGCCCTCAGCCTTTTCAGCAGGAAACCAAAGTAGAAAGGGGTTTACCTTCAAAAGATTTGTATATATGGGTTTTGTATGATGGAGTGAATACCCTGAAATCCACAGAAAAGTCACAAAGTTCTTGAGAAAATTACATTAAAAGAAATACCGCTAGTTTGGACTAAAGGGGACAAAGACTACAGAATGAAAGGAGGCTGGCAAACTCTCAAAATTCTACCAGCAAGAATCAGGCAGGCTAAAACTACCCATCTCCCAATTAGTAAAGCTGCCTTTTAAGAAAAGGACTCAGAGGGTGGAGTCAATGACCCAGAGGGCAGCCTCCCAGTACTTTCCTTTTCCTCCCCACCTTGGGTAGTTCCTCTGGTTTTTGCCACTGTCCATTTGGTTTTTAATGCCCGTCAGGGTCTTCCTTATCTAGTTATCTTCATAGTCCTGCTGAAGTCCCTACTGTGTTCTATCCTCCTAGTCCTGTTACCACCCAAATCCCATCCCTTACCTACCTTAAAAAGTTTCTGGGAGTGTTTAATCATAAAAGCCATCCCATTGTTTAACTTTGTGATATTCTCTTGAAGGTCATTTGCAGTGACCTATTCAGAGAAAAAAAAACAAAAAGGAGAAATTAAGAACGGGAAAGAGAAGGTAGATGCTCCATTTACTTACCAATATTCTTTCAACTGTATGAGTTTCTATCCCCAATAAAATGCCTCTAATACCATGTTTAATACTGGGAAGGCTTTCTGGTTCAGTGGGTTTCCACCAAATCTGACATACTCTAGGAAGAATCAAGCATCCCTGAAATGACCAAGAAATCCCTGAGAACCAATCTTCATTTCCTAATTCAACTTGAGAATTAAATATGCAAGCAGAATTGCTTAAAAAAAAAGATCTAGAAGGAAAAAAAGATCTAGAAGGGATTCAAAACGAGCAAAAGAACAGAATCTGTGCCAACCGTCAAGGATAGTGCCTCTTCAAAAAACTGGAGTTTCTCCAAAAACCGAAAAAAAAGGTCACTAATGGACACCTATTTCTTAAAAAACAGTGCAATGGTCATTGATTCCCTTCTCGTTTCTCCTGCCTCTCTCTTAAGCACTTCAGCCTCTCTACTATACCAAAGTCCTCATCCTTAACATGTACCTTTGTTACTTAATCTGTTTGCTTTTACCAAGAGCTCTTAAATATTTCTTTTTATAGGCACAGATTACTCATTCCTTTTTCAGTCTCATTTAGCTCATTCTAAATTCTTCCATTATAAGGTTTGATCTCCTTCATGTGGACAAATGTTGGTGTTTCTTTTCTTCTCAAACACCCCCATACTCCGGTCAGAGGCTCTTCCTAGCCAGGAACTTTATATTATTTTTCCACTAGTTACTTGTTAGGTAAAATATCCCACATAACCTCTCTCCTTTACCTTTCCTTTTCTAATTCCTCATAATATTAAAATTTTTCTAAGTCACCATATCCTATCTATTTCTATTATCATCCCCAAAACTTTGTGAGGTTAAGTGGTAAAGTAATCTGCCCAATATACAGAGGGGCCTAAGCATAAACAGGGTAAAGGATACAGGTAATAAAGCTGGTCTGCAGCTTTTTTTTTTTTTAAGATTTTATTTATTTGTGCATACAAGAGCTGGGGTGTATGCCAGAGGTGCGGCGGGTGAGAAGATTCACCAGAGACCGAGTGTGGAGCAGAACAGGCAGATCTACTGAAATACACTGCTGAGGGGAGCAGCAGGTGAGACAGGAGAGGTCTGCTGTGCCATGTGGGTTAGCTCCCTGGTGGGGCTAGAACTCGTGTTTCAGTGGCTGCCAATAGCTTCATAGTGCCGCAACTTAACCCCTTGCACCACCAAGGAGGCCCTGATTTGTAGCTTCTAACCCAAGTATCCTGGCTCCCAATTTCATCACATAGTAAAACCTATGTTACAAAAGGACAAGAATATGAAGTTATGTGCCTCCACATGAAAAATTAATACAAAAGACTTCAGATATTTTATTTATTTCTCATGTAGTCCTGAGAAACCATAGTCTCAGTAATAAGAAGTACATTCAGTTGTTTTGTTTTTTTTTTTTAAATAGAGGCATGCTTTATTTATTTATTTTACTTGTTTGTTTGTTTGTTTATACATGCACTGGGTACAGTCAGAAGCGCGGGAGGGTGAGAGAATTCACCAGAGCCAGAGCGGGGTGCAGAGCAGGCAGAAGGACTGAAGTACACTGCTGAGGGGAGCAGCGGGCGGCAGGAGAGGTCTGCGCGCCATGTGGGACCCTCCTCCGGTGGCCGGGGAGCAGCCGGGGATCGAACCGGCGCCGCAGAGGTCACAGGCAGCTTCGCAACCCAGCGCTCAACCGCTGCGCCACCGGGGAGGCCCAGAAGTACATTCAGTTTTATTCAAGAAGAGTATAACTACAGGCAAAGGAAGTTACCACCAAGGCAAAATTGCTCTGTGTCCTCTATTTTTTTTTTAAAGATTTATTTATTTTTATACAAGAACCATGGTACAGGCCAGATGTGCGGGAGGGTGAGAGGATTCACCAGAGACAGAGCGGGGAACAGAACAGGCAGACTGACGAAATACACTGCTGAGGGGAGCAGCAGGCAAGACAGGAGAGGTCTGCTTCGCCATGTGGGATTCTCGCCGGCCGGCCGGGATTAAACCCACTCTGCAGAGGCTGCAGACAGCTTCACAGTGCGGCGCTCAACCACCTGCACTACCAGGGAGCCCGCTCTGTGTCCTCTTAATAAAAGTTTAGTAACACTATCCTGTAAGATTATAAGCTATTCTAAATTTATACCACACAACCCTCCAGATATCAGTTTGAATTCCCAAGATTTTTGTGTTAAAAAGGAATTCAGAGTGGGCCTCCCTGGTGGCCTAGGGGTTAAGTCTCAGCACTATCACCACTATGGCCTGAGTTTGATTCCCACTCAGGGAACTGGATCCACATATTGCACAGTAGAACTTTCCTGTCTTCCCTGCTGCTCCCCTTAGTAGTGTATTTCAAGGGCCTCCCTGGTGGCGCAAGGGCTTAAGCACCACACTATGAAGCAGTCCGCAACCTCTGCAGCACAAGTTCAATCCCCGGCTGGCCAGAGAGAAACCCACATTGCAAGGCAAACCTCTCCTGCCTCGCCCACTGCTCCCCTCAGCAGTGCATTTCAGTCAGTCTGCCTTCTCTGTTCCTCATCTGTCTCTGGAATCCTCTTAGCCCCTCATCTCTGGCCTGTACCCCAGCTCTTATATGCATAAATAAATAAATCTTTTTTTTTTTTTTTTTTTTTTTAAATTTATTTATTTATTTATGCAAGCACTGGGTACGGTCAGAAGTGCGGGAGGGTGAGAGAATTCACCAGAGCCAGAGCGGGGAGCAGAGCAGGCAGAAGGGCTGAAGTACACTGCTGAGGGGAGCAGCGGGCGGCAGGAGAGGTCTGGCGCCATGCGGGACCCTCCTCCAGTGGCCGGGGAGCAGCCGGGGATCGAACCAGCACTGCAGAGGCTGCGGGCAGCTTCGCAACCCAGCGCTCAACCGCTGCGCCACCGGGGAGGCCCAAATAAATAAATCTTTAAAAAAAAAAAAAAAAAGGCAGTGTATTTCAATCTGTCCCCACTGTCTCTGGCGAATCCTTTCACCCCACCCCCAAACCCCCACACCTCTGGCCTACACCCTAGGTCTTCTATGAAAAAATAAATTAAAAATTTAAAAAAAAAAAGGAATTCAGACTGACAATCCATAATTATTATTTAAGAGTTACAATTTCGACTAAGAGTCTCCACTAATAAACTGCCATTTAAGTTTATCAGAGATTGATTATAGGTAAGATTAACAGAAATCAGTTCCCTTAGGTTTGATAACTCTTAAATGATCTAGTAAAACTCTTAAATGATCTAGTAAAAAAGTTCCTAACATCATAAAGCTGAAAACTAGACCTTGAACCCTGATAACCTCACCAAAGTACAACCACAGGATGAGGCCCAGCCCAAGAAAATCTGGCAATCTTTGCTCGTCCCCTCAACACTCACATTTTTTGGCCATAGGACATGGGGTGCAAACATAAGGGCCAGATTATAGGCAGACATCTTATTCTTGTCTTGTTTCTTTGCTGTCTGGTACAGGAGATCAAGCAATAACTTCAGCAAGTTACGATTGGGTGGAGGGAGAATAAGGAAGAGCAACCGAAGAGCCTCAATCTGCCGCTCCTTATCTGGTACATTTGTCTTGTTCCCTTTATCATCAAACTGCATCAAATCTTGAGGACAAAAGAAATGATTGCAAAGTAAGAAAAAAATACAATCAAGAAAAATCAATGCTCCTATTATAATCTTCCCCTCAATCCCAACAAAAGAAATGAAAAAATAAATTCAGGCAACAACACGGATTACAACAAAATATAGTAACAAGATAATGTCAATACAACTCAATAACAAAAGACAAAAAACAATTAAAAGCAAGCAAAAGACAAACAGACATTCTCCCAAAGAAGATACACAAATGGTCAGTAAGTATCAGTATACTCGGTTTCACTAGCTATCAGGAAATGTATATGTAAAATCAAAACCACAGTAAGATTCTACTTTATACACACTAGCATGGCTATAATCAAAAGACTGATAATACCAAGTGTTGGCAAGAATGCAGAGAAAATTAAACTCCTTTACATTGCAGTGGGATTGTAAAATGATGCAACTACAAAAAAAAAAAAAAAAAAAAGATGCAACTACTTTGGAAAACAGTGTGGAATTCCACAAAAATGTAAACAATTACCTTATAACCCAGCAATCTCATTCCTAGGTATACACCGAGAAGAAATGAAAAGCATGCCCATATATATTTTTAATAATTCCACCCCCTTCACTTTCCCTCACTCAGGGATGTTATTGCTGAAAGAAATATGAGAAGTGAATTATGCCTGGTAACGGCATGACCCAAGTATCACCTCATGGAGGCAGAATCACTGTTTCTGCCCTCACCAGGAGACACAGGTTATTATAAAGACAGTCCACTGGATAATCAGCATTTCAAAGGACACTGATAACCACATAGGTACAATTCATATCGACCTGAAAATGATTAGTGTGTTAGTTAAACCTTTTAACTTCAATAAAACTTCAAGATTTATGAAAGGAAGATAATATTTCTATAAGCTTTTCCTGTTTTTTGAAAACAAAAATCCTGTCATCATCACAAAGGTTTATCAAACACTGCTACGACTGTGCCACACCTCAATATGATCTCAAAGGACGGTGCATCCTCAGAGAGGATTTCAAATACTGCACTAAATTAACTCGAGGAAGTACAAAAAAGAGCTAATCTTATTAAATGTTAGAAATTCAAAACTAAAATTTTAAGTAGTAAAAGTTATTCAAAAGAAAAAATCTTATATTTAATATTTTTCCTTAAAATTAGAAGAAAATCCTCGAGGGCAGAAAACTAAATAGATTCAGTATGGATTTTGATGCTGTGCACACTTAAAGCCTATAGCAGCATAACAGCTGTGCAATCTAAAAATGAATCCCTTATCACACAAACATGAAAGAAAATGAGAAAACTATTTATGAGCTGAAAATGGAACATTCTCCAAGATATATTCAGTATAAAGAGCAGACCAAAGAACCATGTATATAATACCCCATAATTACATGAAAAGAGTGAAAGGAAAATATGTATTTGTAAGCTTATAAAATATCTCTGGAATGATACACCAGAAATCAAGAGCATGAGCTGCCTCCAGGAAGAAAAACAGAGTACTAGGAAAAGGGGTGAGTGAGGGTAAAGGGCTTTTCACTGTATATTCTTGAACCTTTTGAATTCTGAACCATGAGAATATATTGCCTATTTAAAAAACCATAAAATTAGTTTTAAAGAGAAATTTTCAAGAGTAGAAGTTATCTCACTTGAGGCATAATAATACTTAGCAAAAGTCCCAAAGCAAGGCAAATATAACGAACTTGTAACCATCTCCAGTATATGAATCAATCCAATGAAAAACATGCATATATTCCAAACTATTAAATTGAAAGAAATGTATTTATATCTCACTTCCTATACTCACCAGCAATTTTAAGGTGTGCATGGAAATGTTTATGTGTCAGCAGGGGCTCAGGTAACTCTCCAAGAAACATCTTCAGCAAGGTGGCAACGTCATTTGAGTGAAACTCCCCTGATTCCAAGTCAATATCCGTTCCACTATTGAGAGCATCCCTTAAAATCTGTTGTCGGACACTATTCCCTGGTACTCTAAACAAACCTTCTACTCGCAAGTCTGTTTAGCACAGAACAGAAGTCATGTAGAAAGGAATCAAAAAGGGAAATTATGATTAAAATACATTGTCTAAAAGACTACTTCACAATTCAAAGACCTTTTGCAAGACCTTAGAAGGAGGTTTCTGTCTTTTTTCCCAGAGTAGTTTAAAACCACTGGCCCCTGAAGAGACATGTCTTAACATCCCTGAGCACCTGGTGATCTCCCAGACTAAGAGATGGTCTCCCAGGAGTCATTCAACGTCCTGAGTACCATCTGGAGACAGAATTCGAAACAATAGTCAGAATGAATCTGAAAAATCAGTTGGGAGAAAAGCCAAAGCTCCCTAAAGGCACTCCCCTTCTTTGGTCATCACAGAAGGGAGGCTGAGTTCATATGAGGCTCGTTTTTCCTGTAAATGGTTTCCCAGCCCAAAACAAATCAAGACTCTCCGTGTTGTCCCAGGAATTAGAACTTTAACCTGTTGGATTACCTTTCACACCAAGAGATTCCCAGAAGTGTAGGGTCATTCTTCCCTCCCAATTAGGTCCTAAACTAATCTATTGAGATTAAAAAAAAAAAAAAAAGATGGGATAGACAGCTTTGGTTTGATCTGGAAGAAGTGTGAGAGTTCATGTTTCAAATTAAGGTAAATATTTACCTCTGTTTATAGCCTCTTAATTCAAGGCTCCAAGTTCAAATGCCTACAGTTCAGGCAGGTAACAGTAAATGAATGAAAAGGAACCATAACAAACTGGAGGGCACAGACATTTGCTCCAGCAGATCATGTCCAAGAGGAAACACAGCTGAAGGATGCTGTATCTGCTTAGCATCCAAAAAAACTAAAAATATGAACCCTCACCACTTTAAAACTGACAATTTTATCTTTTAATTTAATCCTTTGCCAACAAAACATTAATGGAGTCCTTAGACCATCAGTTTGCAATCTCTACTCTAGCTCCTAGCATGGTGTCCCACATAGAATAAGCCGTAAGTAATATGTCAAAGTTAAAGCATCACATAAAGCCACAAATTTCACATGCTGTATCAAGCACTTAGAGCAATGACATTTACCAGCATGACTGCTATAAATGAATAGGAAGTAAGACTGTATTTTAATCATAGAATTTTAGAAATGAGAATATCTTTGGTGATAATTCATTGTTACAATTCTTTAGGGACAATGTATATTTCCAGAAATGTCTCTGAATGAAGAGGAAAATATAATTTCACAGACACTATCTAATCTATATACACCTTTGACAATATAAAATCAATACATGAGATGAAATTTAAGAGGAAATATATTTAAAAACATGCCACCTGAAAACATCACCAATTAGTGTCACTGTTGATGATTAATAGACACCCAGTGATTCCAGGAAGTTAACTCTCAATAGCAAACTCATAATTTTTCATTAACAAACAACAACAAAATTTTGAGCAGTCTTACTTTTGTGTAGATATTCAATCAGCTGGTATATCTGGGCAATGCCTTCCTCTGTCAAAGGAGATCCAAATACTACTCCTTTTTCTTAAAAAAAAAAAAAGACAGGAAAGGTCTATGTTTTCCACAAATAGTACAAAATCATCATACTTACAAGTCACCCAAGCATCTATATTACAATTCAGCAACTGTTTTCATGGAGTCAGTAAACAAAACCTCAAAACTGGACATGCACCAAAAAATACAATCAGGATAACTTTCAAAAAACTCTCTACGTGTTGACTATAGGTTCCTTGAAGGCACAGACCATCTTCTTAAGTATCAATACCCAGAATGTTGATATTTATGAAAAACAGAACTTAGAGCCAAATAATTGTCTAAGTATGACAGATTATCCACTAGTTGGTACAGTCTGATCTGTTACAATGTCTAAACTTTTTTCTACCTAAATGATCTCCTCATATTTAATAAAATAAAATAGTGCCTCTTTCATAGCTTAGCAAAAGCAGTGCTACAATTATTTCCTGGAAACTTTCTGGGTGATTCATAGGCATTCAAATGCTTATCCAAAGCATTCGGAGAATAAAAATGTTTGAAAACTATTGCAATAAAAAAAGTTCAAATTTCCCTTACTGTCCAGCTGTGTGATTTTGTTGTTTTTTTTTTAAATATTATTTTAGTACAGTATTAAGAGGACATTAAAATCAAGGTGACCTTTATAACTACTTAATCATGGCATTCCTTGAGGACTGACTATATTTGCTTTGCTTACTTATCTAGATTATAATTTTTAGTACTATTAAATAAGATTATGCTACATAAAAATGAGAAAAATGACAAAAAAACCCTTTACAGTCATAGTAACTTCACGCAGATGTTAGGAGTGAAGCCCATGGACCCAGCCTTCCCAGACACATCTCCTACCCTTCCGTTTGAGAGACATCAGAGACCGGAAGAATCCTGATGCTGGACCAGCCCCACCAGGCAATTTAAGGTCCACTTCCCCCATTAGTTGGGCCAACTCAGTTCCAGGTAAATCGATGAGCCTTGTAATATTGCTGACCACCAACTCAGTGAACACCTCAGGATTCTCATGTCGGAGTTTTTCCACAAAAAAGTCAGGATTGAAGATAATGGGCTGACCCCGAAGGGAAGAGTCATTGCAGATAACAAAACTGCAGATGGCATCACTGGAAAATAGGAAACAGAAGGATTGTTGGGATCATTTTTGCATGTGTTTCTCAGGTCCTCTCAACCATACCATTACCCACTTTCTGTAGATTCATCTACATGTTGGTCTTTGGAAAAACCTAATCCTGGGCCTCCCCTGGTGGTGCAGTGGTTGAGCACTGGGCTGCGAGGCTGCCTGCAGCCTCTGCAGTGCTGTTTCGTTCCCCGACCGCCACCGAGGGTCCCACAAAAAAAAAAAAAAAAAACTAATCCTTACTCTACACTGCACAAAAGAAGACAATTTGGACTTGTTGCTGAGGTAATACTCACTGAAACAAACACTTAAGTACTTAGTTTAATGAAAGAAATCATCGAACAGCCAGTTTGATATTACCTAAGTTTGTCTCTTAATTTCAAGCATATACTGCAGGAAGATACAGATCCTTACAGACTCCCAGCTCTAATAGTTTATTAGAATTGCTAGTCACATGGACCATGTTTCCGTATAGAACAGTCAAACCCTGGATTAATTACTGTTAAAAACTTGTAAGACATTAGACTGTAGGTGTTTCCCTTAACACAGCAGTGGATAATCATTAAATTAAGGCCTTCTTGTGAATACAGTCAGTACTATACAACAAGCAACTGCTGACAAGGCCACAGTCAGGCCACATTCAGGACAGTAAACCTGAGACTATGTAAGAGCTAACACTATAATAATGTAATAGACATTTCAGATACATTTACTCTACCCACAGGGTTCTGTGATTCCTAGGTCCATATAGGTAAATAATCTCCTTATAATCAGACCCCTTTAACTGATCCAGTCGCCCTTGGATTCTATTCCTCAGAGCCAAAAAGCCTTCACTAGAATGAAAGACATTTTAGAGGTACATTAAATAGATATTAATTCAGCCTTGTCCAGGGTGAAAAACAGGTTTTATTTTTTTTTAAAGATTTATTTATGCATACAAAAGCTGGGGTGTAGACAAGAGGTACAAGGGGTGATAGGATTTACCAGAGACAGAGTGGAGAGCAGAACAGGCAAGCCAGGAGAGGTCTGCTGCATCAAGGGTTAGCTCCTTGGCTGGGAATTGAACTTGTGCTGCGGTAGCTACCAATAGCTTCATAGTGCTGAGACTTAACCCCTGTGCCACCAAGGAGGCCATATAGTTTTCTTTTTATATTGTTTAATTGCACAATATGTGAAAGCATTTTCCTCATTAAAAATTAAATAATATAGATAAAATATTCTCTGTCAAGCAACCCAAGAATTAGTCCCTCCCGCAAGAAGTCACTCTTTTATTTTTAAATCCTTTAATTTTCAATGCCTCTCTCCCATCATCTAAGTCCAATCTTTATTTGGACAGGTTCTTCTCTCCAGAGTACTTGGGGAATTACATTTTGCTTCTAATTTCATTCTTCCATCATTGAATAACACTGTATGTTCTGCTGGCCCCTAGCTGGTTTTCCACTCCTACAGTACTTTGCCATAATCCCAGCAAAGCTCTTTTGACTCTCAGAAATATCTTCTTCCCTGTTCTTTGTTTCCTAATGCCTAATAACTGTACTCCATTTTACTTCCAATATCGTATATATAAAACAGCATTATTCCATCTCTTACAGCACACATCACTTATTATCTAATGATCTGTTCTAATCCTTATTATAGAAACAGTTATTTATTTTCTAACCTCTGAGTAGATGTAATACAAGCCAGAAAGGACAACTTATCTATCAAGTAAAGTTGAAATTCACCTGACTAATACAAAGATTTCTACAATTAAAAAATCACAAAAGTCTCCCACTACACCCTTGGCACCAAAGCACTGCTCCAAAAAAATGACACCTGTAAGTATTAAATGTAAGTAATCTATGATACACCTTTCCAACACTACATGGACTAATTTTTAATAATGCTATAATGAAAATAAGGTATGGGTATACTTCAAAGTTCATCTCTACTTCCCTGAAAAACTATTACAGAATTTTTAATCAACAGCCCAAATCTCCAGTTGGTAGCTAACTAAATTACTTCTTTTCTCTAAAATGATAAGAATTCAGGTGAAAATTTAAAATTATGAATGCATGTTTTCAAGACAAAAAGTTATTGAAGAAAGAGAACTTATAATGCTTGCCTCCTCAAGCCTTTTACACAGTTTAAGACAGGTTATCATTCCTGCATAAACTAAAAATGCCAACTGACTATAAGCCAACTAAAATCAAAAGCAACTGTTTCCTAAATCGTTAACAAAAACCTCTTTTTTTAAACATCAGCTTATTTCTGTCAAGAAACAAGAGTCAGGACCTCCCTGGTAGTGGGAGGTACCTCTAGGGTAGCGCAGGGGTTAAAGTCAATGCTATTAAGCTATCAGCAGCCACTGCAGCAAGAGTTCTACCCCAGGCCAGGGAGCTAGCCCTGTCTCACCCCACCTCCTATCTTACCCGCTGCTCCCCTCAGCAGTGTATTTCAGTCAGTCTGCCTGTTCTGCTCCCCACTCTGTCTCTGGTGAATCCTCTCACACTCCCGCACCTCTGGCCTGCACCCCAGTTCTTGTATGCATAAATTAAAATAAATCTGGGCCTCCCCTGGTGGCGCAGTGGTTGAGCGCTGGGCCGTGAAGCTGCCCACTCTCTGCAGCGCCGGTTCGTTCCCCGGCCACGGCGAGGGTCCCACATGGCGTAGCAGACCTCTCCTGCCGCACCCACTGCTCCCCTCAGCAGTGCACTTCATCAGTCTTCCTGTTCTGCTCCCCACTCTGGCTCTGGTGAATTCTTTCACCCTCCTGCACTTCTGACTGTAGCCAGTGCTTGTATAAATAAATATTCTTTTTTTTTTTTAATTATTTTTCTACCCAGAGCCAGAAAACATGAGTTTGAGAGTGATCGCATTCATACTGAATATCAACATTCACATCATATCTAGCCTAAACAATGATTTTATGAACTCACATCCCTTTTAATTCTAAATAACAGATTTCAGCTCCTGTTAGTCCTATCATGCAAATGTACATGAGTAGTATCCATTAAATGGCTGAAGCAGAAATGCATACATACATACACTCTCCAAATTCTTATTTCATTGATGTCCCGAGCAAGGCTAAGTTAAGATTCTAAACCTTACCTCACAGTTGACCCTCCAGCACTGAGCTGGATCAAACGCAAGTGAAAAAAGAAAGAGAAGCATAAAGCCCTAGCTACAGTGTTTTTCAACAGAATTCTTTCAGTCTAGGCATCACCCCCTAAATAGCACCTGCTCTTAAATAAGTGTAGTAGACAGAAGAGTAAAGAAGTTCAAGGTTGTTCCTACCTATTCACAAAAAAATATACAAAAAAGATACCTCTGAAGCTCTAAAACACAGGTAATCTGTTACTTTTCCCTTATGCTTTTTCTCCCTCCATCATTTACTCTTGCTTTGCCCTACATTAATTTCTTTAACCTAGTTCTCTTTTTTCTTTTTCCTCATTTTTTCTGAGCAGAACATTTGGTAAGACAAGAACCAAGAGAGCATTGGTCAAAAAAGAAGTAAAACTAACCTGAAAGATGAAAAATGGAAAAGACATGTTCTTGTTATTCCCATGTCACCAAGCCCACTACTCCTTTTCCACAAAATACACAATACACAGTATAAAGCTGAGACTATCACGGAACATGGCTAAGAACTTAAGAGATTCAAAGCTAAAAAAAAATTTTAAAGTATTATATTTAAGCAAACTAACTTCCTACTTTACAGTATCTTCTTTTAAAACAACCTCAAAGTCTGTCAAGTTCAAGAAAAAACAAATTTCTTACATAAGTGCTGAAAGTTTCTGATGAGGCATTGGTACATCGAATGGATAGGAAAAAAGCTTTCTCCTTAGTTGTGACAAAAGAACCCTCCTTTCCCTGCCCCATCTCAGCCTACACAAATTCCAGACATGTCAGAGGACACAAGGACACATTATGGGACCTGAAAGGCAGACTTATTAGAACTCTAGGCACTCATCTGCAAGTAGGAACAAAACAAAAATTTTTAAGAACTGGACTAGTTCACTGTATTTCCCAAATTGCTTATTAAGTTCAATAGTATCTTCCATCACCACCGAAAAGTTGTATTAGACAAAACAATTCCCTAAAGTAAAAGTACAAGTAGTTTTATGATATGGAGGAATATAATTCCTACCTCATACCACATACAAAAAAAAAAGTTCCAAACAGAACATAGATCTAAAAACGAACAGCCTAAATTTAAAAACTCTAGAAAACAGTTTGGAAGAATAAATTAATGAGGCAGAGGAAAGATCTCTTAAACAGGAGATAAAAAGCACAATCCACCAAGACTGAAATAATACAGAAGTATATTAAAATTTAAAACGTCTGTACAGCAAGTGACATTATAAACATTTTTTTAAAATGAAGTCACAATGACTTTGGAGAGAGGAATTGGATGAAAGAACAGGAGTGGGAGAGAAACTTCACTGTATGCTCTTTTGTATTTTCTGGATTTTTGATGCATGTGAACATACAACCCATTCATAAATAAATTCAAAACTTTAAAATAAAAAAAGACAAGCCATAAACTAGAAAAAGAAATCCATCATGAATATATAAAGGAGTGGCATTCAGAATATCAGTATGCCTAAAATTTACAAGAAAAATACATTCACTCCAGAAAATTAGTCAAGTAAATTCAGAGAACAGGAGGCCTAAATGACTAATAAACATGAAAAGAAACCCCAACTTTAGAAATAATTATGGTAAAACAAATTTTCAAATGGCATCTTTTTTTCTTTTTTAAAAAAAAGATTTATTTTATTTATTTATACATATAAGAACTGGGGTGTAGGTTAGAGATGGGTGGGGGGCGAGGGGCAAAGATGAGAAAATTCACCAGAGACAGAGTGGGGAGCAGAACAGGCTACTGAAATACACTGCAGAGGGGAGCAGTGGACAAGACAGGAGAGGTCTGCTGCGCAATATATAGGTTAGCTCCCAGGCCTGGGCTCGAACTCATGGCGCAGTGGGTGCCGACAGCTTAAT